GGGATCTCATCCGTTGGGGTTTATATGAAATTCGTGCTGTTCGTGAGCTTGGAAAGATTCCCGTACTGTCTTCTCGTTAGCATACAGTGGCAGACGTAAGTGAGTGTGTATGGTACCAAATAGCTTGTCGCCCAGTTTACCGGACATCCCGTCGGTAGCAATAATCATGAGCGTCAGATGGAAATTACGTGCGTCTCCAATCCCACCGAACATGAGTGAGACTTTGCCTCTGTCCGTTCGAAGTAGATCGTCTTCGTACAGTGATTCTGGCGAGTCGTGTCCGATAACGTAGTATTCCAAGGCATCCTGACTGCAAGCTTGTAAGCATCCTCCTGCACAGTTGGGGATCAAGCATAGTGGAACCTACATTTGAGGCTTGTAACGAGGTAGTTCCAGGATGATTTTTTTGTGAGCAGCTTTTGCATCGGGCACACGCGCTCTGCTACTCTCACTCACTCGTATGCAGGCTTCCAATGCGGTTTTATCATTGCTGGAGGCCAAGCGAGTTACCTAGAAGAGATGGGTGGCAGGGTAAGCGGATGTTCCAAAGGTTGAAGGGAGTTAGCCTAGCTGCAAGACCTCTCTGTCCCAGACCACCGAGTAACAAGCTAAGGCCGATAGCCGCAGCTTATTAGTTACTCGGCGGTCTTTAGAAGGCATGCACGCAAGGTTACGCCCATCATTTTGCTTACATCCTCCTTGGCTTGGCGGAACTTAAGCACATGAATGCTCGACTTTGCCCTGCGAAGATACAACTTTTGTCTCGCGCTTTCGTTGTCGTCAGCTAATAGTCGCAAAGCTGAAGTGCCGACAGCGTAGCTTTCATCATATCTTCCAAGCTCGAAATACACGGCGGAGAGATTTGACAAGGGAGCGGCCTCGGACGGCGCTAGCTCAGCGGCATGCTTGTACTTGGTGAGGGCCTCCGTGAACCTGCCAGCCTTGTACAGCTCATTGCCCTGCTTGCGTACATCTTCGGACGTAAGGTCAGATCCTGGAGTGGTCATGGTGTGTAATTCAGTTCGTCTTGACTACACAGAGGAACACATCTCAAGTCTGATACTCACTTTGAACCATCAGGCATCAGCTCAGGGTCTGCGACGCGTGCGCCGGACGGTGGGTCTCGAACGCGTGCGCACGGTCAATATAGTGTACCACTCTGGCCATGGCGGCCGACGGCGTGTCACTCGGGGCCGTAATCACTCTGACACGCGGTCGACCTTAGTGATAGGTCCCGACACACTCATGATGTCCAAGGCTTGCTTGACGGCGAGGCGAGGCTGTTCGTGATATCGGATGAGGTCGGCAAGGTCGAGCGAGGTGGAGACCACTTTACGGGCCCTCGTAGCCGCTGTATAGCGTGTTCAAGTCGCGTTTTGGTCGTATGGATTAACGTGCCTCTTCTTCGAGTACATCGCAAAGCAAAGGCGCAAATGGTCCCACGGTCAAACCTCCTTGTAGAGAGGGTGGTGACGTTATCAAGCGGTATTGGCATGGTAAAGCGCAATGAGACTGGTATTGCCGCCATCGCCTCCTTCAACGCCTCCTTCGCGAAACTTGTGCACCGTAGGCGACACGAGGGGTCCAAGCTCTAGGCGAGCACGATATCTACTGCACAGGTATGAGAGCGGTAGGTTGCTGTTGAAATTTACTGTAACGGCGACAGTAGCGACCAAGTACCCCTCTACTGATCTTCCACTCCTCTTGCCTCTCTAGCACTATAGAAGATGTCAATGCAACTTAGATGACGTGTGACCGTGATTACCGCTACAAGATGATCTACCGCGTCACCCGCTGCCTTTCGTGATGTTCTCGAAGCAAGAGATCGTGGGTGCAGCCACTTTGCAGCCCGTTAGCGTGTTCAAGTCGCGCTTCCGTCGTGAGATGAACGCGTCGTGTTCTCACTGGAACTACAGGTATCGAGAACATGGCAGCAGAAAAAGCTGTTTACACGAACCTGCTCATAGACGTGCCGATGCCGACACCACAAGCAACCAGTGTCGGAACGTTCCAGAACTCGAGGCTCTCAGTATGCGAATGATCCGCTACAGTATGGTTCGGCTGTAGTACAACTGCGAATGTGGTTCTCCGTTAGTGCTGCAAGTTGGGTGAGAGCCTCAGACAGCTCGGTGAATCGGAGAGCTCGATGAGCGACTAGGTTCTCGACCACAACTCGCAAGACGAACCCAGACCACAGATACTGCCACTACCCCCTTGCGAGTTTAGGTCATCCGTAGTCAGAGTCAAGAACACCAACGACGGAAGTGATCGTAGAGAAATGGACTATTTTGATCTCGGTATATACTGCGACAAGAGAGGCTTAGTGGTTTCGAAAAGATCATCTCTTCCAAGCAGCAATGCTCAAGCCGCTGGCTTTCGTTGGACACGGTCTACATGTAGACTCCGTCATTGGTGTGTAGCTCGCGCAAGTGGCTGAGACACTTATCGTGCTGACAACGATTGATTCTGACCTACTTGTCGTGGATATTGGCTTACTGCGGGCGGATGTCGCTTGCGAGGATAAGGAGACCTGGCTGGTAGTAACGGTGCTGTCGGAGGGGAGCGGGACCGTCGAGGCCTGACTATTCGACGTTGTAAGTGTCGGAGAGAGCATGGTCGAAGTCGTTGTCCGGGCCGTCGGCGATGCCAATGTGGAGGTGTGACTTGATGCGGTGTCGGGGAGACTAGTTGTCGATGGCACTGTTGAGCCCGACGCTGTAGTGGAAATCGAAGTGATCACTGCTTGGGTCGTCGCCGGCGTCGATGTAGGTAATGGCGTTGCCGGACTGGAGTAGGCTGGAGGTGGCGGACTGACAACCCCACAAGCTCCATTGCGGTCGATGACATTGCTATCCAGGGTCACCGCACCAGTGAGTGCGTAAAGACCTCCATCGATCAGAGAGCCGCCGGTGTTGACAGTGATAGAAGCTTGAGATATCACGATGCCAGCGAAGGACGTTGCTGCGCCTAGCGTTGCTGAGCTGCCGACTTGCCAGTAAACGTTACAAGCTTGAGCGCCGTTGACCAGGACCACTGAAGCGCCCGTAGCAGTAGTGAGGGCGGAAGCGAATTGAATCACAAATATCGCGTTTGGATCGCCTTGGCCGTCGAGTGCCACGGAACCAGTCAAGCCGCCTGCAGCAGAGAAAGAGTATATGCCAGGTGTCAATGTCTGGCCACCAAGGTCCTGGCCTGTGAGGTCGCTCGTAGGTAGTAGCGCAGCTAGCGCGGTATACAACGCTTGTAGATCGACTTTTGCCTGAATTGTTGATCCATTGTTGATATCTTGTCCAAGGCTGATGCCCGGAGGGAAGCCAGTGATGGATGTGCCAGGCGTCAGCCCGATTTTGTCGCCAATGATCGTCGTTCCGGTATTGGTGATGATTGAGGCAGCAAAAACAGCGTAAACGCCAGCGGCTCCAAGTGATAGCTGCGCATCAGCAAGAGCACTGAGGCCTATGGCGTAGGCGAAGGCTCTGGCGCAGAGCATGTCTGGGCTCTGCTAGAGAGCATGTCTGATAAGAAAGGTTGAGTGTGGTGGAGAAGAGAACGCGCTTCAATGATGTGAAATTGTGAGGAATGCTTGGAATGCATTTGAATGATTTACGCCAGAGGGTCGTCCCGAGACTCTTCGTACTCGAAGTGAGATTCAAAGTAGCTAACGGCGTATATTTTGACAGGTCCGGGTCTTGCGAATGTACTTACGATTCGTGGTAGTCTCTAGTGCTCTCACACCTTGACTTATGCTCCAGGCACCATAGATGTATCTGGCGGCCGTGTCAGTCTACCTTTTGCCGTAATCTCTAAGTACGATCAAGCCAGTGCGGAAGATCAATTGCTATGAGGCTTGTTGTGTTGCTGTCTAGAACTGACGACGTTGGTGATGTTGGAGCGGTTCGAGGCGAGGAAGTGAAGACGACCTCAGAACGGCTAGCGTGCAGTCCGTGCACTGGCGTATGTTGGTGAAAGCCGACCAACGACCACAGTGTGACCGCCACGATGGCTCGCACGCGCTGGCAGTACGTGTTGCTGTTTCTGACGCTGCTGTCCGTCGCGCTGGCTGCTTGTAAGGATATCGAGTCCACCCGAAACTCCCGCATGCTAACGACATCTAGCACCAACGTCCTTCTGCAAATGCACCTGCTTTTCCAACTCCACCCTCATCCCGCTCGACGATCCCACAACCACCCATAAGCCAAGTGCCGACGATAGCAAAGCATCTGCGAAGGGTCGGCGGTCTTGCATGGACTGCAACAAGCAGTTCTGTCTCGACTACCACCTCCCCATCTGCCAGGACGCAACAGAGGCCGACGTGTTCACAACTTGCTTCCAGCGTGATAGTGCGAAGGATCAAGCAATTGTGTTCATCTTCATAATTGCTACTGGTGGGCTATTGGTTTGGGCGGCAATAAGACCTTGGGTGCAGAAATGGCGGGACAATGCGAGTGCAGGGCAGGCATATACGCCTGTGCAGGGGTGAGTGCAGCTTGAGAAGTTACGGAAACCATATATAGGTTCACCAGCCACTATACTCTACCAAGCTGGAGTTGCACCATTCTCCGAGGGCTTTGACAGACCGCAGCACCGAAAGTTCGGAACGAGGGGCTCGGATCTCAACTCCGCGCATGAAGCCTGCAAAGTGAAGCCAGGATGAAAGCCAAAGATGGCAAAAGAGAATGGAAATGCCCGGACTCGAACCGGGATTTCTGCTGCTTGATGCCTGCCGATGCTGATGCGGATTGATGCTGACGCTGGTTGATGCTGGTTGATGCTGGTGCCGAGTTGATGCCATTGTGCAAAGCAGCAGTGTTCTACCATTATACTACATCCCCGATGACCGCAAACGGAGCTTATATCAAAATATACTTGCAACCTGTTCCCGGTATATGGCCGACTTGTAAGCTCTGATCAGCGAGAAGATCTCCGAGGACTGGACACACTGACTCGCAAGAATTCGAGATCACCGTTGTTCAATATGATTTTTCAAGCAAAAATCGATATGGAGCAGGCCGGACTCGAACCAGCATCACTGCAAAGCACTTCCGCGGACGGCATGCATAGTACCCTACCATTAGACCACTACTCCCAGGATCGGCAAGCATACGGATAGTCCCAGTACCCTGATGGCAAGATGCGAAGTATAGCCGGGCGACAGTGTCTGCTCTCACGCACTTTTTGGCACGGAACCGTAATTTGAGAACGTTTGCTACCTTATCTACACACCAGCCCTCGAATTCTGCAGCTTCGTAGCACTGATCAACAGGCTCTCGAAGAACAGCCTTCTGGCTGCTGCCAACGTGGGAGACGCTCGGTTCTCCTGGCTGCTGCTCATCTTGGAGACCCTCGACTGCCTCACCACAATCTAGCACACCAGTGGTCCTTCGAAGGTCAATCCGCTGTAACGCATCCCTATAAACGCAATTCTCTCAAAGCAACAGAACCGCACCAAAGCAAAGTCCAGCCATCGCCACGCCCGCTCCAACCACGTTACCAAAACCAGGAATCTCAGCAAACGCCAGCGCGCCAGAGCTGGTATTACCAATATTGCTGGTCGCAGCGGCTGTGAAGCCCAACATATCCGTCTTGCTCGCGTCAGTCTCGGTAGTGCTTGGCTGGACGACCTTGGTGCTAGTCACTGTGCTTCGGCTTGCAGAAGAGTCTGTGGTAGAAGCCAAGTTTTGCGACGTGGAAGACTGTGTCGCTACGAAGGTGGACATGTTGAGGTACGTCCCACTATCGATCGAAGTGTTGTTGATGTGCGGGTTGAGGGTGGATAAGCTGGAGATTGTTGATGACCAGCCTGGGCGCAGAGGGTCGGTGATGATGATGCCGCTTGCATTCGCGGTTGAGGAGGCAGGATAGCCGGAGCCAGCGTTTGGCGCACTTGTCGAACAGGGCAGTGTGGTATTTGCGAGCACGGTGAAGGTGTTTGTTTGAACCGTTGTCGTAGTTGTGAGATAGGGCATCGCGCTCTCCATAGCCGACAAAGCTTCATTGAGAATGGAAATGGCGTTGACCTGGCGCTTGGCATGGTTGCCAGCTGGGTTATGACCGAGGAAACCCGGACCAACCCTCGGACCGTCAGCTGTGAAGATCGATGTCCAGGGTTGAGGGTCGGACGTGGCGTCGGCGGATGGTGTAGCAGCAGTGGTACTGCGCGTTGCTATCGGGCGACTTGAAGTGAAGGACGAGCCATCTGATTTCGACGCGGCCACGACGCTGCTAGATACCACGAGTGTTGTCCAAGGCGTCATAGGGGTATTGTGGGCTGGATCCATATTGAAAGTAAAGGTGTGACCCATGACTGTCTCGACCTTGAAGAGACCTGAAGCGGAGGACGACTTCAACTCAGCAGCTGCAGAGACCTGCGTGGCTGTGGCTGGCGGGGCAACGGTGGTGGTGTCGTGGGATATTGTTGAGGGACCTGATCCGGATGACAAGCTCCCAGACATTGATGTAGTCGCCGCGCTGCTAGCAGCAAAGAGCGTCGTCCATGGCTGAGGATCGGGTGAGCCGTTGGGCAGTAGGACAATATCATGGGGATTGGTGGGTATCACCGTCGTGAAGCTTGGAGTCATCGCGGAGCTGGTGGAGGTTATGGTGGTGTTGCGCGCTTCTACTGTGGAACTCGAAGCGAACTCCCAGTCCGTAGCTGCCGCAGTACTGCCGTCACCGGTGCAGCTGATGAAGCCCGGGAAACTTACGACACAGCTAGGTGGGAACACGCATTTCCCGGCCGCATCGCATGTAGGAAGAGCGACGGTGGGAGTGGCCAGTACCGTCTCGGTGACGACGATTGGCGAGAGCGTGGAGGTGGAGGAGGTCTTCCCCACGAGATAGCTGGAGGTGCCGTAAGGGTTGCACTGCGTCTGGTTGGCCAGTTCAGGCGGACCATCGCCAGTGATCATTTGGTAGGTGGGTTCGTCGACGCAGGGGACTGCTGGTCTGTCAGTGGAGGTCTATTTGCGCTGGACCGGGGTGGGCACCGACGTGTTTGAGTCTCAGCTGCGAGTGTTTTGATCGCGAAGCCGGCGAGGGCCAGCACAGCTGTGCGCATCGTGTCCGTTGGTGGAACGAATGTGGATGTGAGTGTTGGTGATACGAAAGGATGAAGGAATGGTACCAAGCGAGTGTCTGTCTAAGCCAATGCTTGTTGTTGTTGTTGTTGTCAATAACAAGCGCGTGTGTCAGATGAGCCCCGCACGCAAGTGAGCTCCAAAACGTCGTTCAACGAAAGAGGAAAGAGCGCCACCTTCACTTGCACAATCAAATTCTGGCTCTCAGTAGCTTTCAGCTGATTGCGAACGATCATATGCCATGGGATTACAGAGTCAAGCACTTCTAAGCCTCGTTTCCCTTCGTCTCCCCACCAAACCCAGCGACACCAACTAGTGCTCGCTGGAGGGCGTGAGCTTCACTTCATTCTGATGCTTTTCACTCGACAATCGCCTCCCTCATGCTGCCACTTGACATGCGATGTAGAGAATGCTGCCACGCCAGATACTCTGGCATATATCACTGTGGCGCCCTTTATATGTACCATGCCTTGTTCCAAAAGCGTGGAGAAGGAATGGCGCTCAATCCTTAGCGCATATATCTTGAACATGACATGCCGGAGCAACAGCCGTGTCTAATGAAGATTTCGTGACGTGCATGTGCCTTCGCACTCCTCCTCTGCCGTCTCAAAGAGGCAGTCACGCTAGATATGCAGGGTCCTTAGCGCTGAAATCGACTTCGAGATTTCGCGGAGCTTTGATATTGAACATTCACGGTCGCGTACGAGGTGAGCGCTGGCCATGGGAGACGAGGCACAACTCGATCGCAAACGCCTACACATCACACCATTCAGCTCGACTCTCCTCGACCGCTTTATCCCGCCTTTAATCCGGCCATTGGCTTCCGGCATCTCCTTGCACACTGTCGAAACTTTTCCCGAGCGAGCTTTCGGCTACGTCGAGCTACCTGCCATGGAGGCTGAGAAGCTGAAGAAGAAGCTCAATGGCATGACGCTGAAGGGCGCAAAAGTGCGGATCGAGGATGCGAAACCTGAGAAGAAGCGCAAAGCCGAAGCTGAGGCCGAGACGGAAGAGGAGCGGAAAGTGAGGAAGAAGTCGAAACGGGAGCTGAAGAAGCGGGAAGAAGGTGTGTTGGTTGGACATGAGATGGAGGAGGGCAGGCGCGTGAAGCGGGGTTGGACAGACGACGGGTCAGAGAAGAAAAAGGACAAGAAGAGTAAGAAGGTGAAGTCCACGGATGAGAGCTCGAATGGCAAGAAATTGCGCTTCAAGACTGTGGTGCCGCCGAATCAGGCGCCTGTGGATGGCAAGGCAAAGGTCAAGACGGATGATAAGAAAAAAGAGAAACGGGGCAAGAAGACGACCGTGGTGCAGGAATTTGGGAAGGCGCAGAAGCCTGTGATCACTGGAGGCACTTCCGCGAACGCAAAAGCTGCTCGGTTTGAGGAAGGTCAAGGTTGGGTAGACGAAGAGGGCAACGTTGTTGAAGCTCCGGCGAAGTCGACTCGACCAAAACGAGAACGTCGAGTAGACAATGCTTCAGCCGCAGCGCCTTCTCCAAGTCCAGTAAAGACTGCTGTCAACGTCAACACTGCCGAGTCTGATAGCGATGAAGAGGTCTCGTCAGTAGTCAGCAGCGACACATCAAGTGATGCAGATGACGACTCAGATTCCGGAGACGATACACCAGAGCCAAGCAAAGCTCCATCGACGATACATACGCAGGTCGTGACGACACCAGACGATGAGAGAGACTCAGACGCGCCTGCAGAAGTACACCCACTGGAAGCTCTCTTCAAACGTCCAGCTCCCAAGCCCGAGAGCGCGACAAAGCCGAAACCTAGCCCAATCGACACATCCTTCTCGTTCTTCACTTCAGGTCCTGCTGCTGAGGAGGCAGAGGATGAACGTGATGGTGAAGCTCGCCCACCGCAAACACCGCATACGAAGGAGGACTTGGAATGGAGGAGTGTGAGATCTGCGGCGCCCACGCCTGATACGGCTGCTATTGGTAAAAAGTTTGACTTTCCTCTTGCGCGGGATGAGGACGATGAGCTCGAGGATGTGGACGAAGGCGATGAGGATGTTGGGGAAGTTGGGCAGCAGGAGGATGTGCACATGGGTGACAGCACGGTCGATGCTACTGGTATTGCTGTGGATGGTGAGAGGCAGGAAAGCGACTTTCGGAAGTGGTTTTATGATAACCGTGGCGACTTGAACCGAGGTTGGAAGAAGCGGAGGAGGGACGAGAGGAAGCAGAAGAGGCAGAGAGAGAACAAGCGATTGGGTAGACGAGTGGCTTGAGGTTGATGATGGGTGTCGTTGGTCTGCAGGAGTCATGCATACGTCTTCGATCGAAGATAAAATCAATGCCTCATTACCGACTACCACCCAGGACAGCCACAGTTTATCATAACGGGCAGACTCGTATTCACGACCGCCGCTATCTCGGAGATGATAGCTGTAATGTTATATGAGCACACTCAACTACGCAGTAAGTGCAGTATCAAACCGAGCAGTGACTTTGTTCTTCAGTTGTTGCCGTGCCTTCCAGATTCGGATGCCGTTTCAACTGTTGGTGCGGGGCTGGTACCTTAGACTTCGGATTCAGCATCACTACATCACACCGCAGCAGTGGCACTCTCTCGTCCTTCCTTTTGCTGTCGTCGACTTGCTTCTTCACCAACACTAACATTGCCGCTGCCAGATTGCCACTGTTCTTGCCACTGACTTGTCTTGTGGAGCGCGGACGAGAGCGCTGACTGTGAATAGACGCTTCAGATGGCGCAAACTGCAGAGGCCTCCGACTGGCCGCTCAAGAACTCTACTACCGCCGCAGTGGTGACTGGACAGCACCACATTGACGACCTCAACAACAACGCACATTCCACTGGCCCTCAACGCAACGACATGAACGTCCAGGCGAGCAAGCCGCGCGATCGTACGATGTTGCGCTACGTATTCGGCGTCACCGTCCTTGCATTCGTCTCGCTGATTCTCTCAATCGCCATCACTGCGCATCTGCACATCGGCCCAGGCAAATACTTACTCGTTGCCTGGATCACTGTTT